TATTTTTTGAGTTGGAATCTCACTCTGTTGCCCAGACTGGAGTGCAGTGGCCGCTCCCGGCCACCGCAGCCTCGACCTGCTGGGCTCCGGCGATCCTTCTGCCTCAGCCTTCAAAGTAGCCGGAGTTACAGGCATGCGCTACCATGCCCGGCTGATTTTTTTTTGATTTATTGTAGAGATGAGGTCTTGCCAAGTTGCCCAGGTGGGTCTCGAACCCGCAGGCTCAGGCAATCCACTCACCTCAGCCAAGATTTTTTTTTTTTTAAGTTGGGAGAGTAAAGAATCCTAAGTGGAAGTAAGGCTTCAGTAGATCACTCAAAGTAGTAAAACATAGCCAGGCACAGTGGCTTTCACCTGCAATGTCAGCTACAGCACTTGTGGTCTAGACAATATAGTGAGACCTTGTCTCTAGGATAAATAAGTAGTAAAGCATTGATACCAGTAGGGTGTATGTATATTGTAATATCCAGAGCAACCACTAAAAAATCATACAAAGCAATATGCTAAAAAATATATATATATATATATTTTTTTTGAGTTGGAATCTCACTCTGTCGCCCAGACTGGAGTGCAGTGACCGCTCCCGGCCACCGCAGCCTCGACCTGCTGGGCTCTGGCAATCTTTCCGCCTCAGACTTCCAAGTAGCCGGAATTACAGGCATGCGCTACAACTCCCGACTGATTTTTTGATTTATTGTGGAGATGAGGTCTCGCTGCCCAGGTGGGTCTCGAACCCGCGGGCTCAGGCAATCCACTCACCTCAGCCTCCCAAAGGCGTGGGATTACAGGCTGAGCCACCGAGCCCGGCTTGAAAAATATTCTTTAAAAAATAAAAATAGAATTCTAAAAAATGCTCAAGTAAACTCAGGTGAGAAGTAATCTGAAAAAAATGGTAAAATTTTTAATTAAAATTAAAAGTATTCAAGTAACTGAATAGGCAAGAAAGTGAAGAAGAGAAATGAGAGAAAGAGGGAACAAATAAAAACTAAAATCAGACTTAAGCCCTAGCTTACTAATAATTATTTTAAATGCAAATGGTCTAAATACTACAAGTAAAAAGACAAAGATTAGAAGAGTTTTTTTTTAATGGCCCAAGTTTATGTTATCTACAGGAAATGCATGTCAAACATAAGGATATAGTTGGTTGAAAGTAAGAAGATAGAAACCAGAAAAAGTACAAAATAAATTCAAAGCAAGCAGAAATCAGTGAAACTAAAAACAGGAAAATAGCAAAGAAATCAATTAAACCAAAGACTGGTTCTTTAAAAATATCAGTAAAATTGGCAGTCTATCTTTCCCTGTCTCTTTCTTTAATAAACTTTGTTTTTAAAAAAAAAGCCGGACACAGTGACTCAGAGACCTATAATCCCAGCACTTTGGGAGGCCGAGGATAAGAAAATTGCTTGAGCCTATGGGTTTGAGACCGGCCTGGGCAACTTGATGACTCTACAATAATTTTTTAAAAATTAACCAGGCATGGTGGTGCGTCCCTGTGATTCCAGCTACTTGGAAGGCTGAGGTGGAAGGATCACCTGAGCCCAGCAGGTCCAGGCTGAAGTAGCCGTGAATGTACCACTGCGCTCCAGCCTGGGCAACAGAGTGAGACCCCAACTCAAAAAAAAAAACAAAGAAAGAAAAAGGAAACCGTAAAATTGATAAACATTTAACAAAATTGACAAAGAATGAAAAAAGAAGACAAATCACCAGTAACAAGAATGAAATTGGGATATTGCTATAGCCATTAAAAAGTTGATGGGGCAAACTAGGAGTAGCTTTCCACTCACACATACAATGAGTGAGGAGAAATGGACTAATTCCTTGAGAACTGCATATTACCAAACAACCAAGAAGAAATAGATAACCTGGATAACCATTAAAGTAATTGAATTTGTAATTTAAAAGCTACATAAAAGCTGTAATTTAATTTATAAATCATCCTCATACTTCAACAAGGGTACCTGCATAATGAACATTTGTATACCTAACACTGAATTGTACCCCACATCTTTAAAAAAAAAAAAATTAAAAGAAAAAAAAGTCATCCTCAGCCCAGGTGGTTTCACTGGACAGTTTTACCATGCATTTAAGGAATAATAATTAACACCAATTTTACACACTCTCTTCCAGAAAATAGGAGTTTTTTTAAACTCACTTTGTGAGGTCAGTATTATCCTTACACAAAAACCAGACAAAGATAGCACAAAAGAACCAATAGAAAACTTTACACCAATATCTGTCATGAACTTAGATGCAAGAATTTCAAACAAAATATTAACAGGTATCATCCAGCAATATATGAAAAACATTATACACAACGTCCAAGTGGGATTTATTCTAGAAATTCAAGGCTGGTTCAATAATAAAAATAAATAAAAGTAGTCTATCATATCACAGTCTAAAGAAGGAAAATCGTAAACAGAAAAACTTTTTAACAGAACTTAATACCCATTCATGATAAAACTGTCTAATAATAGAGAGGAACTTACTCAACTTGTTAGCATCTACAGAAAGCTCCAGTGAACATCATATTTAATGGTAAAAGAATGAATGCTTTTACCCCAGAATTAGAAATAAGACAGGGATGTCTGCTCACACTCTTTTTTAACATATCATAGAGATGGAGAACATCTTAGTAGTTGCCAGAGATTTAGGGACTGAAAAGAGAAGCGGGGCAGATGTGACTATAAAGGGGTAACATGAGGGACCCCTGTGGTAATGGGATAGATGTGTGTCTTGATTGTTGGAAGTAGCTCCACAGAGCTGCACATGTGACCAAGCATGGTGCCTCATACTTATAATCCCAGCACTTTGGGAGGCCAAGGCAGGAGGATGACCTGAGGCCAGGAGTTTAAGACTAGCCTGGGAAACATAGCAAGACCCCATCTCTATTTATATATATTTTTAAAGCTACACACATGATAAAGTTGCCTTGCACTACACACACAAATGAATGCATGTAAAATTGGAACAACCTGATAGCTTTGTGGATTGTCTCCATTTCTTGGTTTTGATAGTATACTATGTTTAGGACGTCAGCACTGGGAAAGGCTGGTTGAAAAAGTACTGGGCCCTTCCCTATATATTTCTTTGCAGCCTACTATGAATCTATAATTATATCTCAAGAAGTTTTAAGCCTCCTAACCTCCCCAGTTCTGTACCCCATAATCCCCCACCACATACATCGTTCTGTTTAATCATGATCCTTTCGCAGACTCTTAGAATATATAAGCAAGTGTAACTGCAATAGTATATTCCCTTCTCTTCTAGTTGAATGGTTTCATGCCATTTATATGCTTTGCTTTTTTTTCTACTTAATAGAACTCATTCCATATTAATCATAAAAGAATTTCTTCATGCTTCATTTTCTCGGATTCAGAGATTATATTGGTATTTCTGCCATATTAACCAGTTTTCTATTAGCAGACTTCAGGGTTGTTTCAGTCCTTTGCTTTTAGAAACAATGCTCTGCTCTGGTGAAAAACTTGCACATTTCCCATTTTGCTGGTGTGCAGATATACCTCTAAGATACATTTCTAGAAATTGGTCTTCTAGATTCAAATTTATGATTTTCAGAGACACTGCCAAACTGCCCTCCCTAATGGGTCATACAGGTTCATATACCTGCAAAGTATATTTCCTTATATTATTTCCAAGAGTTATTTTCAAATTTTAGGGCTTTTGACAACATGTTAAAGAGTGCCATTTCAGTGTGGTTTTAATTTTTATTTTATTATACTTAAGATTTGACATCCGGGCTCGGTGGCTCAGCCTGTAATCCCGCGCTTTGGGAGGCTGAGGTGAGTGGATTGTCTGAGCCCGCGGGTTCGAGACCCACTTGCACAACTTGGCGAGACCTCATCTCTACAATAAATCAAAAAATTAGCTGGGCGTGACAGCACATGCCTCTAGTTCCAGCTACTTGGAAGGCTGAGGAGGAAGGATCGCGAGAGCCCAGCAGGTCGAGGCTGCAGTGACTGAGAGTGGCCACTGCACTCCAGTCTGGGCGAGAGTGAGACTCCAACTCAAAAAAAAAAAGATTTGACTATATTTTCAAAAGACATTTTTGTTTCTTTTCTATCTGCTGTGTTCATATTCTTTTGGTTGTTTTTCTAGTGAGTTGTTGGCCTTTGTAAGAGTTATTGGTTTGTGGGAATAATTTATAGTATAAGCTCTTTGTGTTTGATATGAGGTTCAGATATTTTCTTTGTCTTTTGCCTTTTGACTTTGTGGTGTTTGTTTTTTGTCATGTTGAGGTTTTTTTTTTGTCTTTAGTCAAACTTATTTTGGGAGGCTTGTGGATTTTATTCCGGCTAGAAAGGCCTTTCCTGCATCAAGGTTATAAATTTCATGGTATTTTAATTCTTTTAGGAATAGTCATGTTGAAATCTGGAGTAATGTCTCCACAGAGAGGAGGCCATGCTGCTTCAGGCAGTAGACTTTATTTCTGGCTGTGGGTCTGGTTCTGTGGGTCTCCTCAGTGTGGTTGGAAATCTGGGTCACTGCTAGAACTAGATCAAGTTAATCTCACATCCTCCATAAAGCAGTTCTTTACAGGGAAAGGAAGGAAAGGGAGGACATTGAATGATCTTCTGGCTCTTTCCCCATCTCACAGCAACCTTTATTCCAAGAGATAGACAGACTTTGGTAGAAGAGGTTTTTGTCTTGTGTGCTTTGGGAGCTAGTGGTTGAGAGACAGAACCCCTTTGCTAGTCTCCAGGGAAGGGAAACCCAGCCTTAAGGGCCATTCTTTCCACTGACCAGTTGTGCAATCCCACTTAGATTGCTTCTCCACAGAGGCAAGCTCCCTGAATCTGAGAAGTCTAAAACTGTCCTCCATCCCAAAAGGACTTGGGAGTCTTGTCCACATTTCAGCAACACAGCTCTGTGGATGTTGTTCAGAATGAAGTGCTCGTTAGTGGTCTGTCTTGGCTAAGCCTTGCATTTTCAAAATGGATGTGCAAAACATTTGCTTAGCATAATTTCCATTCCCTTCCTCTTAGGAATAGCAAGGCCAGAAGAAGGAAAGCCTACTGTGAGTATAACCGGAAATGACATCACCATCCCACCAAACAAGGAGCTCCCACCAAGCCCAGAGAAGAAAACAAAGGTAGGTGCTAAAATGGTGGTTATCTTCTGCTGTTACAATTTTTAAGTACAGTATCTTCTGCTATTATTGCTTGAATCATGAATGAAATTTCTTTTTTCTGAGCTATTATGAATCCTTCCTCATGTTTGGACATGCTTAGAAAATATCTTGTATTCCCATTTACCATAGTGGCCTAAACCAAACTTTAAAACTTAGACCATTGACCAGGCACGGTAGCTCAAGTCTGTAATCCCAGCACTTTGGGAGGCCAAGGTAAGAGGCTTGCCTGAGCACCCCCATGGGTTCGAGAACAGCCTGAGCAATTTGGCGAGACCTCATCTCTACAATAAATCAAAAAATCAGCTGGGCATGGTAGCGTGTACCTATAGTTTTGGCTACTTGGAAGGTTGAGTTGGAAAGATCGCCTGAGCCCAGCAAATTGATGCTGGGGTGGCCATAAGCATGCCACTGCAGTCTAGCCTGGGCAACAAAGTGAGATTCCAACTCAAAAAAATAAAAACAAAAACAAACTTAGGCCACTGACTTATTATTGCTATATTTCTGTGAAAATTTTATGTAGAGGTTGTTTCTGCTTCCCTTAACAACAACTGAAAGGACAGTGGCAGAAGTATTCTGAAATAGATTCTGAAGTCTCTTCATGAAAAGGGAATGCAGATTTTTAAGGTGGATAGTAGCTTCAGACACTTAAGTGGTATTTATTGCAAACCTCAAGTGCCACACTATAGGAAATGACTTTTGTTGCCCCATCAAGATTCAGGTAATAAGGTTTAATCACTTCCTGATGAGTCTCCTTATAGAGTTATTATGCCAACCAAAAGTTAGTTAATTGTTAAAAGTTAATTATTTTACTTAAGGTGCCAAACTGGTAGAACTTGTGGCACTGTCATTAAGAAACAATTCCCAATCTTCTTTCCCTGTCCTCATTCTACTATTTACTGAGCTCAGAAGAAAGGAGTGCTAATTTTCAGTTGCATCTATCCTCATTGCTTATATTTTTACTTTGAATTGTGCAATTTACACTTTTTTTACATTTGTTTTTATTCTTGTCTGTGTGTTTGATGTTGGCTTTTAAAAAATAAAAATTACAAATTGCAAAAACAACAATCAACCTAAAGCCTCTGGCCACCACTCAACCTGCAAAGACTTCAACATCGAAAGCCAAAACACAGCCCACTCCTCTCCCTAAGCAGCCAGCTCCCACCACCCCAGGTGTGTCGAATAAAAAACCCATGAGCCTTGCCTCAGGCTCAGCACCAGCTGCCCCACCCAAACGCCCTGCTGCCGCCACTACCAGGCCTTCCATCTTACCTTCAAAAGACGTGAAGCCAAAGGTAAGTGGTCAGCTAACTACTATGACCAGGAAAATTTGTCCCTTCTGAGTGTCAGATAACACAGACTCTTGTTGCCACCAGATACAGAAGCAGGCTGATGGAACTGGGAAAAGGTGATTTGAATATCAGTTTGGGGACCCATCAGTGGGCCCCCATAACATTTTGAAGCTGTTTTGCACCTTTTACTTTTCCCATCCCTGGATGTAGGCAATATTCCATCTGTTTGGTTCCTCCTCCTTTCCTTCAACTACTCCTTACTCTTACCTGTTTAAGCACGTGTTAACCAGTTTCCTCTACTCCACATACTAATCAGACATTCTTTTTAGTAGAAGTCCCATAAATTTAATTCTTTGTCTTTCTCTTTAATCATCCTGCAAAGTGAATTTTACCCATTACTTTTGTGGTATAACTAGCTCTCCCAGCTTATCTCAGCATGTTCTAGCTTGATGCAATGACTTACTTTGCTTTTGGCATTAGGCCATCTCTCCCTGGGCTACTCCTGAAATTGTCCAGTTTTCCAGGTCACCCACAGCTTCTGTGTTGCCCCAAAACTGGTCACATTTCAAGGCATTAGCTTCACAGAACTATTCTAAGAGGAGAAGGGGGTGGAGGCTGAGCCTCCCTTCTTTAACATCTTGTCTGTTTTGAGAAGGGCTTTTATGTCAGCCTGAAGGTACTCTTTAAATTCATGGTGGGAAACAGCTTTTGTTAAGATGTCAGTTTTTAATCTTGTAAAGGAAACTGGTAGAACCTAGGAAGTGTAGTCTAGACTGAAACCCTGACCAAGACACTGAGAAATGTTATCATAAACTGGTAATGATAAAATCCTGTTACACTTTCTGTCTGATCCTCATTTACCCTGTTGGCTGCTTTTTCTGATCTTAGAAAACAATTTATTTGAATAAGAGGGCAGAGGGAAGGTGACTAGAGCCGTAGCTGCAGGTCCTCCCTGCAGCTTATTCAGTAGCTGCTCTTAAAAGGGACAGAGAAGTATAGGGAAGAAGGGGGTGTATAGTTAAATTTACTCTATAATAGTAATAAAAATGAAGTGTACTGTACTGGTTGCTCTGTATACATTAACTCCTTTAATTAAACTATCTCACCCACCCATGATGTAGATATTTGTATTTTCATTTTATAGATGAGGGAGCTTAAGCTCAGTTAAATAACCTTCCTAAAGTCCGGTAGAGCCAGTCACCGAGCTCGGCTCTAATGCTTGTGCTGATGCTCAGGGCCTCTATCAGCCATTTGTATGTTCTCCTATGGCTTCTTGCTATGCAGCTTTTAAATAGCATTTCAAGATATGGCTGACCTACAGAGCTGATCTGCATTCTAATTATTAATGTTTGTCTTTTAGATACGAAACAGATGGAAACATTTTGAGAGATTGATAAACTCTCAAGTCTCACATCACGTATTATCAAAACTGGTCTTCAGGGACACTCTGTTCTAATCTTTTTTATCCAGATGAGAAAATAAAGCTCAGAGAAGCTCACTGATTTGCCCAAGAATACACTTGAGTTAGAGACAGACTAGGTCTGCAGCTCAGGCTTCTGACCCACATTTGGCCAATGGCCTCTCCATCTGCAGCTTTCCACCAAAAGATAGAAAGATTTATAGAAGCAAATAAAGCAGGAGAAAGACCTATTAAAGAAAAATAAGTCGATCTCTGATTCTGGCAGAGGAAAAAGTGTAAATTGAGAAACAGCAAAATAACTCTGGTTAAGGGCAGGCCGTTTGTGGGTTTTTTGGAAGCCAGAAACCTGGCATCTGAAGGATGTCACATCCTTTAGAGATTTCTCACCTGCGTGACTTTTTTTAAATGGATCTTACTAGCAAAATAACAGAACTACACTAGATTATTCTGAATCACGGTCATAGTGTTGAACACTTGAAAGAGGTCCCAGGGAGCATCTCATTTAGTCCTCAATATGTAGAGCGGTAAGAGAGGGAAACCTCTGCACAAAATCCTATATGTTCCCAGCAGAACAGATTGCAGAACTGCTTCCCCTGATTCTGGCCTTAGGGTTCATCGCACCATACATAGGATCTCTGTGGAAATTGTCATTACTCTGCATTTGCAAAATTGGGCTTTGTTTGATTGGATGCTGGTTTTCCATTTCACAGTATCCTGTTTGTCTCCACCAACATATTGCCCTCTGTATTGCTGTTTTTCTTAGAGGAAAAGAGCTGAGCCCACTGTGTCTGTGGTTTGGCTCACTCTCTTGAGTAACATGGTACGTTTGCTTATCAAAACAGTGTCTTCAACCCCTATTCCCATAGAAACCAGGCCAGAGTAACTCCTTCCCTTCTTTACTAGTGATGTAGTTCTCAGCCTCCATATAAGAAGAACTAGAGTGACACAGCCACTCATCTCCCCTTGAGAGACTTTTCCCTTTTGCTTTTAGACCATAGCTGTGATATCAGTGGTCCTGATTGCCTCTGTGGGTCAGGCTGCCCCTTCTCACTGCCTCTGGGCTGAAACCTTTCATCCTGTATTTCCTAACATCACATATTATCAAAGCTGGTCCTTAGTGACGCTCTCTTCTAATCGCTTTTATCCAGATGAGGAAATAAAGCTCAAAGAGGCTCAGTGATTTGCTGGACTAGGGCTGCAGCTCAGGCTTCTGACCCAGATTTGGCCAGTGGCCTCTCCATCTGCAGCCCTGTCCTGTTCAGCGTTCTCTAGGCGCATGTGAGCCAAAAGAATGGCTGGATTTGACTGAACACATTTTTAGGTTTTGCTTTGTGTATGTGTTATTTAATCTTCTATCAAGTATTTACTATATTAGGTTATTACGTTAAATATGTTAGTATTTAATGCAGTAGGTCCTGAGAAGAGTATAGGTTGTGGTGATAGACTTTTCAGGGCTGTTCATTCTCACTGGTTCAAGTCGGACTGGAGAGGTTTGATTCCATGTTTCCTGACCCCAGATCATGCAGCATCCTGCATGGTCAGTGTCTTGCTTTGTGTGGAGGACTTTGATCTTAGAGCCATGTATATTTCCTGTCATTAGCTGCCGAACCCACAGTCCCTCCTGTTCTCTGGTGCATGCTTACATAGAACCATCTGTGGCATGGTTTCTGGAGCTGTCGCTGACCTGCAGCTCTTACCCCTGCTTTCCTGTTTCTAGCCTGTTGCAGAAGCAAAGGCTTCTGAGAAGCGGGCCTCACCAACGAAACTGGCTTCTGCCCCGGCCCCCAGACCTGGATCCAAGAGCACTCAGGCTATTCCAAAAGCCACAACAGCTGCCGCTGTTGCCTCAACTGGGCCAAGCAGTAGAAACCCCCCTACATCCGTACCCAAGAGGCCCACTGGTGAGTATTGCCTGACTTTCCCTCTCGTGGGAGCTAGTGGGGAGGAGAAGGGGGACTTGGCTTTGTCCCAGCCTTATACCGCTTAGCCAGTAACCAGACGGCTGTGCAGACCTGCTTAGGTTCCAGTCCATAGTGGGGTGTCTTGAACATTGACAGCCTGCTGGGTCTAGTACTTAGCAAGCCTTGATTTCCGTGTGAGCTTGTGGTTGTGTGTGTTCAGAAAAGTCTTGAGTGAAGGAGACTGTCATGAATTCCCAGGTAGAATTTACCGTTCCTTTCCTAGTGACTCCACAGCACCCAGCACATTGCGGTCCTGGGCTTACATGATAAGAAATAGGCAATTCAAGTCCATAGGCATGATTGTTTGGTGGGTTGTTTTTGCTTTTGGGAATTTTTTTTGTTTTTTTGTTTTTTCTGATGCCTTGATCCTTGGACATAGGCACAGACTGATGACCTACATCTAAGGCCACGTAAAAGACATCGTCAGGACTGTAGAGAAGAATAACATGCAGTGCCTGGCCTTTTGTGCTACATAAAGGCATGGTCTTTATATGGATATCTAATTGACTGCTCTGTTCCCAGAGACCAGCACAGTCCCTGGCTCAAAGGAGACATTCAGTAATTGTCAAATTATGAGGAATCTCAGTATTGAATGTGCTATTCAATAGGACCAATTGTTCGACATGATATTAATAAGTATATGTTTATACAGCCCTTAAGACTGAAGGAAAACCTGCAGAAGTCAAGAAGATGACTGCAAAGTCTGTACCAGGTAATATTCCATCTACTACATTGTGGAGCCCTAACCCAGCCTGGGATCTCACTCTGTCGCCCAGGCTGGAATGCAGTGGCTCCCTCACAGCCTGCCACAGCCTCAACCTCTCCGGGGCTCAGGCAAGCCTTCTCCCTCAGCCTTCTGAGTATTTGGGACCACAGGCACATGCCACTACGCCCGGTTAATTTTTTAATTTTTTGTAGAGACAAGATCTCACCATGTTGCCCAGGCTGGTCTCCTAGGCTCAAGCAATCCTCCCCACTTGGCCTTGCAAGTGCTGGGATTACTGGTGTCAGCCAGGAACCCTGACTTAAACTCCCATTTCTCCGTCTTCCATTTGCTCTTTTTCCTTGAACACTTATTATCTCTTACTCCTGTCTTTGCAGCTGACTTGAATCGCTCAAAGAGCACCTCCACCGGTTCCGTGAAGAAAAACACCACTCTCAGTGGAGCATCGCCCCCTGCAGGGGTGATTCCCACTCGGGGCAAGCCAGCACCCATCCCTTCCCGGCCTTCCACATCTCCTTCCGTGGATAAAAAGCCCACCTCGGCCAAGCCCAGCTCCACCGCTCCCAGGCTGAGCCGCCTGACCACCAACACTTCTGCCCCTGATCTGAAGAATGTCCGCTCCAAGATTGGCTCCACAGAAAACATCAAGCACCAGCCGGGAGGAGGCCGGGTGAGTCCAGGAAGCTTGAGCTCATCGGCATGCCGGTTCCTGTGTCTTCCCCTGCCACATCCACTCACTGTTCTCCAGGCCTACCAAAGAAGGGAGGCTGTTAGGACATTGAACTCAGTGTCAGAGAATTTTAGCCTGGGCTGTGTAGCAGGCTTTGCACCCCAACAGCAGGGAAGGGGTAGGCTGAGCTCTGGGCTTTCTCTTCCTGACTTTCTAGCAGAGGGACTCCTGTTTTGTATGTTGGAGTTTGGGTTTGCATATTTGCTTGAAGGTTTAAGGATTCTTCTGTTTTACAAAAGAAACAAAATAGAAGGCAGACTTCTTAGTCACACAGCCCATGACTTGGGTGGAGTCTGTCTGAAAGAGGACTGGAGCATCCCCTTGTGGCCAGGATGAGTTGTGTTTGAGCCTCTGGCTTTCCTCTGATGCCAGATGCAGTGATGGGGAAAGGCGTGGCAGACCATGGCACTTAACTTTGTGGCTGCAAGAATTTTCTGGTTGCAAGAATTTTCAGTGACTAGAAATGGCAAAAATCCATCTGAGAACATTCAGGTCCCTGGAGTAGTGACCACCCATCCCCTACATCAGGGTAGAGGGCCTAACTTGCTGCAATCCAGAGCCATAAGAAACTGAGAGCCAGGCTCATTGACTCAGCCTGTAATCCCACGCCTTTGGGAGGCTGAGGTGAGTGGATTGCCTGACCCCGCGGGTTCGAGACCCGCCTGGGCAGCGAGACCTCATCTCTACAATAAATCAAATAATCAGCCGGGCGTGGTAGCGCATGCCTGTAATTCCAGCTACTCGGAAGGCTGAGGCGGAAGGACCACCGGAGCCCAGCAGGTCGAGGCTGTGGTGGCCGGGAGCGGCCACTGCACTCCAGTCTGGGTGACAGAGTGAGTTTCCAACAAAAAAAAAAAAAAAAAAAGAAAGAAAGAAACTCAGGAGAGACAAAAATGAGACAGAATCCTGATACAGTTGGAGAACACGGGTGGCAAATAGAGATCTGTCTGGATAAGGGCCTCAGAGTTGTTTTCGGTAAGCGAGGGTGGTCCTGGTGTACCCAGCCAGGCCTCTGGTCTGTGCTGCCAATGGCCCGTCTCCCCCTCTCTTTGCTTTATAGTGCAAAAGTTGCAGATGGTCTTGGTGGGAAGTTGAGTACTTGGTCTAGTGAATTGTTTTCTGTTCCAACATACCTGAAGATTATGATACTTCCCATCTTCCATAGTGACTCCCTGTGACCATGGCAACTTGCTTGGGGCATATCGGAGTATCCGAATGGGAGGGCATTGTCCTTGGGAAATGATGCCCCAACACACCCAGAAGTCACTCACTTGTCTTCTCAGTCTCCCTTTGTGCATTGTTTCCATAAATGGTGTTTTGATCTCTTCCTCGCATCTCAAGACTTTGGTCTGCAGCTCCTCTTCCCATGACCCCCTGACTCAGGGATTTCTGACTTGGTCTACCCTGGGAAATGGGTGTTTTTTCCTAGCGTCCAGAGTGACCTGTTTCTGCCTGATGGCCTGGCCTAGATTTGAGTCCCCTACAGCCTTCTTTCCTTCTTGGCATTTGAGCTCTTCTTATCCTCTTGGTTTGAAATTTGCCCTCCCTTTATCTCCATCCAGGCCAAAGTAGAGAAAAAAACAGAGGCAGCTGCTACAACTCGAAAGCCTGAATCTAATGCAGTCACTAAAACAGCCGGCCCAATTGCAAGTGCACAGAAATCATCGGCTGGGAAAGTGAGTTTTATTTAGACATACCTCTGGAAGGTTAAAGATGGTAAAATATTTCTTCCAGCCTTAGTCACTTTCCCTCTACTGCACTTTGTTCCTATCCTTAACTAGTTCCTACTTCTTCTCCTCCATTTTCCCTTCTCTGTGCTTGATGACTCAGTCATTAGAAAATTTTTTGTATTAGCCCTGAAAGTTGACAGAGTTGGGAGCCCATTATCCCTTTGGGGAATATGTATTCAGCAGGATAAAATGGATTCAAAAACTTCCAATCATTTCCTTCACACTGACCATGATGTGACACCCACCCAGAATGGACACAAACAGTGCACTCAAGTTCATCCTCAGGAAGACATGGCAGTGGTAACCTTCCATCACCTGAACTCTGGAGCCCCTGTGCTTTAATTTGAACTAGAAGGCCTCTCTCATACTGCTGCTGGGTGTGATGATAGCTGCATTAGTCCTGGTTCCCCAGGTCACCCCCCAGCTGAAAGTTAGAGCTCATTTCCCATGGAAACCCACTTAGTATGGGCTTCTAACGTCCACTAAGGGGCAGAGTGAGCTGAATGCGTTCCCCTTGCCCCTAAATCCTGGAACTGGACCCTCCTGCCCGCTGGAGCACACCTTAGCTGTGGGCAGTGGGCCTTTCTGAACAATAACTGCCAGAGAAGCCTGAGCTCCAACCCTAGGAACCAGGATGGGAAGTCTCAGCCCAGGGGATTCACACAGTGGGGGGGGGATGAGGAAGGCTGTACCATGGCTTCCAGGTCCTATAGGTCCATACCAAGGGTCCTCAGGAAGTGGTTTGCTCACAAGGTATTCACTATAAAGCTGTGAAGAGGCTAGCCATAACTAGTTACAATATGGGCTGGAGTTTCTCGGTGGATTTCTGTGCTCTGTGGAGAACTCTCCAGTCAGGGGCTGTATCCTTTGAAGAAAACCTCCAGTTCTGAAGCAAGGATGGAAGGAAGGAAGCTGGCAACTGATTCTTCTTGGGAAGGTCCGAGAAGAATTCTTTGTTCCAGACTCTTAGAGCCAGGGCCTTTGTATTTCTCACTTCTGGAGAGCCATTCCTTTGCAACATGGTGCAGTTACGTGTCATTGCAGCTTACAGCCCGTTCTCTTTGCATGTGAGTCTCACGGGCAAAGGATTAGACATCTGGAGGATTATAGAAGGTGGTTTACCCTCCAATCAAAAATTTGGTACTTTTGCGAACCCTGAGCCAAGTGGGCTACATGTGGAAGCTGCTAAGGCTGCAGCCAACGCTTCCCTGGTGTCCAGGACTCTGCATTTGCATCTGTCTGAGCATCATCCCTTCCTTCCTGCTAGTATCAGACCCATGCCCCAATTGCCAGCTGCCCACTGCTTCTCACAACAGCCTTTTCATCCAAGACTGGGTCTGGCTGCAGCCATTCCAGGCCCCAGATTTACGAGACATACCCTCCTTGGGTGAGGACAGGTCCTCGCAGAGAGGAGCCAGGGACACTGTGCCCAGCTTGTGGGGAAGAAGCAGAGCAAGGAGGTGGGCCATGCCTGGGTGGGCATCAGGGGCCTGCTGCAAAGACCACAATGCAGTGCCTGTGCTATACCCGCTTCTTGTTGTCGTTGGTGTGTTCACTCCCCTCCTTGCCTTTTCACGTTGCTTCACCTGTCCTGTCCAAGGTGGGGGTGGAGGTTTAACAACACTCTTTATTGGTCGCTGTGATCATGTGTGGACTCACCGCCTGCCCTGTGTCAGTTCTAACCAGTCCTCTCCCTTTGTGTTGTTTCTTCTGTTCTCTAACACTCCAGGTCCAGATAGTCTCCAAAAAAGTGAGCTACAGCCATATTCAGTCCAAGTGTGGTTCCAAGGACAATATTAAGCATGTCCCTGGAGGTGGTAATGTAAGTATAAGCTCTGACCAGCTGGCGCTGAGGCATAGCCCACTGTGGGGTGAGCTGGGGGGAGGACCAGCTGCCTGTGTAGACAGGACACAATGGCTTGGATGTGGGTGTTCTCTAAGAAGCAGGCTAGCAAAGTGAAGGAAAACCTCAGTGCGCCAGCAAGTTTAGGCCAGGAGTTCCCACTAAGCCCCTGAACAGCTGCCCAGTGACACCCACTTGGTGTCTTCTCACCCACGTGGTGGGAGACACTTGGGTTTTCCTCCCACTGTGTCGGAGACCTGGTCTCAGTGGTCCATTCCTGGGAAGAATGTGTCTGTCTGCATGCCCGTGTGGCACCGTGGGAGTCGCTGCTCTGCGACAGCTGTCCAGATTTTTCCAGAGTCCATTCTTGAATCCTCATCATTATGCAATCAGAATGAGTCAGCATTCTCCTCCTGACCCATCTCGGATGTTTTCCTCCATCCTTGTTACTCTCCTTTTTCCTCTTCCCACACTTTCCTTTTCTCTCCCTTCTACTCCCATTTCCCTTCCTGCACTTCTTTCCTCATTTTTTTTTCCTTTTCGAATCCCTTCCTCCTTTTTCCCTTTTTTTTGAGTCAGAGTCTCACTCTGTCACCCAGGCTAGAATGCAGTGGCACGCTCACAGCCACCACAGCCTCGACCTGCTGGGCTCAGGTGATCCTTCTGCCTCAACCTTCCAAGTAGCTGGAACTACAGGCACATACCACCACGCCTGGCTAATTTTTTGATTTATTGTAGAGATGAGGTCTCACCAAGTTGCCCAGGCTGGTCTCAAACCTGTGGGCTCAGGCAGTCCTCTCACCTCAGCCTCCCAAAATGCTGGGATTATAGATGTGAGCCACCGCGCCCGGCCCTTTTTCCTTTTTTTAGTTCCTTTTCCCTCGTTATCTTTTTGCCCCCTTCCATCTTCCATCCAAACGTCCTTCTTCTTATCATGCTGCTATTGTGTGCCAGCTCTGCCATCTGTGTTGGGTACTTGGGTGGCTGCAGCTCACAGGGAGGTTCTGGTCTAGGGCGAGACAGGACAGCGTCTTGTCTCATAGTGTGCATTGTCCACTGTGCATTGTCCACTTGCCCCTAACAGGAACCAGGGATGGCACTCTGCAGAGCTGTGCGAACCCCTGCCCTCACTGCTTCCCTTCCAGCTCCCAAGTACAAGAGCTCGTCCCTGGTTCTTTCTCTTTACTGTCTTGAACTGAACTAGGTCTACTCTATTTACCCTTTTCATTTTCAGCCTCTGTTCCCCTGCTCCCTCAGTGGTCATGACACTCTGCCCATTGCCTACAGATACCTCCAACAGGACCATCATGAGGAATGCAGCCACAAGCTTTCTCCTTGCCCCACATAGCTCCCCCTTCCTGCCCTCCTTCCTAGGCATCTTCCCACCACTGGCTCTTCCTGGCCTGGGCAAAAGCAGCATCCTTTGCACACAGATAGAGTGTGCTTGGCCAGCTTTATGTTGGCCAGACATTACCCAGCCTGGCATGGAGTCAGGGGAGGTGAGGATAGGGACTGAACCTGTGAGAGACCCAGAAAGTCACTGACCCCAGCTTTTCCTCTCAGGTTTTTAGCCTGGGTGAAAACAGAAGGTCAGCAGGAGTTCTGAGGGAACTGGCTCACTTGTGCGTATGTGACATAGAAATGTGTTTATGTATGTTGTGCAGTGTATGTAAGAGCTCTGAAAATCGTCATCACTTACCCATCACTTACTAGCATCTTTCCACACTACCTACATGTGATTTGAAGCAAGTTTTTGTTTTGTTTTGTTTTTTTAGGGTGAATGTATTTTTTAAAGCATTTTCATGTGAGAAGGCTTTCTTAAACAGACCGCATTAGGAAACCACTATAAGCAGAGTTTCTAGGTGGGAAGATGAGGGCAAAGAGCAGTGGGCCACAGCCTAGACTCAGGCACTGTAGTTCCTTCCATAGCCCCCCACCACCAGTGTATCCATAAAGCCAGCACAAATAAACATGCAGTGTAAAATAGTGGGCCCGCCTGCTGTGCCCATATACACACAGACTAACCCCTTGGGGAGGATGCTAGGGGAGAGAAGGGTGTGGTGTGCTAATTTGTCTAATGTGGCAGCTTCTTCGTGGCTGGTCCCTGCTTAAGACTTTGTGACAGTTTGGGTTTCATTTCACCCTTGCAGGGTTGGGTATGTTTGTGTGAGGGTTCTGAGGCCTGTAGGCCGCTTGTTTCTACCGCATAATTGGTTTCTGCAGTAGGCCCACAGCCCTCATAGACCATCAGGGCAGCCTGTGGAAACACAAGGAGAGCAAGGCTTGTGGGTGCTGTGTTGGTTGTATACCAGACAGAGGACCACAGAGAGCCAGTGTGGCTTCTACTCTGGCAGGCTTCCCTGAGGAAGGGGAGGAAGGGGTGTCTGGTGTCTGGGTCAGCCCACAAAGGAGGTGCACGTCCTCAGTGAGAAAAGCTACACATGGCTCCCTGAGGCTGGAGTAGAGTAGAGGCAAGTGGCCAGGGAATGCACGTGGGGGTGTCATTTGGAAGCAGATTGAAGAATCCCCCACGTACCAGCCCAGGGAGAGAGAGCTGGACCTTAGAGGCGGTGAGCCTCATTAAGTGAGTGAGGCTCAATTATGGTTTTTGAAACTTTTTATTAACGGAAATTTTCAAACATACAGAAGGAGAAAAAATAGTAAAATGAACTCAAGGTACCTTTTACCCAGCTCCATTGACTGTCTACTTGGCCAGGCTTGGTTTATCTATATATGCTCACCCCAGTTATTCTGAAGCCAGCCCTAGATACAGTATTCATCTGAAACTATTTCAGTATACACATTTAAAAGATAAGGACTCTATAATATATATATTGATACATATGGCCAGGCATGGTGGCTCATGCCTGTAATCCCAGCACTTTGGGAGGTAGAGGCAGGAGAATCGCTTGAGCCCAGGAGTTCGAGATCACCCTGGGTAATGTAAGACCTCATCTCTACAAAAAATACAAAAATTAGCCAGGCATGGTGATGCACAGCTGCAGTCCCAGCTACTCAGGAGCCTGAGATGGCAGGATCACTTGAACCCAGGAGGTCAAGGCTGTGGTAAGCTGGTGTCCGTTGCTGTGGTGAACATTACCACGCCACTTGCACTCTAGACTGGGCAACAGAGTAAGATCTTGTCTGGGGAAGAAATAGAAAAACCTTAAAACATGCCAGGCTGAGGTGAGTGAATTGCCTGAGCTTGTGGGTTTGAGACCCGCCTGGGCAACTTGGTGAGACCTCATCTCTACAACAAATCAAAAAATTAGCCAGGTGTGGTCGGCGCACCTGTAGTTCCAGCTACTTGGAAGGCTGAGGCGGAAGGATCGCCAGAGCCCAGCAGGTCGAGGCTGCTGTGGCCGGGAGCAGCCACTGCACTCTAATATGGGCGACAGAGTGAGACTCCAACTCAAAAAAAAAGAAAAACATGCCTGGCACCTGTAGTCCCAGCTAGTTGGGAGGCTGAGGCAAGAGAATCACTTGAGGCCAGGAGTTTGAGTTCAGCCCTAGGCAACTTAGCAAGACCCCTACCTCAAAAAAAAAAAATACCCTTAAGGGACAGCTTGTGTCTTTGACCAGGTAGTTGAGCTCTGGGCATCCTGCCTAAGGGAGTCATCTGGGTTGCAGAGACCTATACAGTCCTGTGCCACATACCAGTTTCAGTCAAGGATGGACTGCATATGTGACAGTGATCCATAGGATTATAATACTGTGGGTTTTTTTTAACCTTTGGTATGTTTAGATACACAGACCCCTACTAATGTGTCACAGTTGTTTACAACATTCAGTACAGTAACATGCTGTACAGGTTTGTAGCCTGGAGCAGTAGGCCATGCCGTATGCCTGGGTGTGGAGTAGACTATACCATCTAGGTTTATGTAAGTCACTCTGTGGTGTTCATACAATGAAGAAACTACCTAATGACACATTTCTCAGAAGTATTCCCATCCCTAAGTGATGCCTGACTATTCAAAAAGATATTTATTGCTGCCAATCTATCTGTGATCACAAGTAGCTGGGAACCCAATATATAAAAATTGAAAATAACCCAAATGTTCCATATTAAGAATGTGGTAGGTGGGGTGCAGTGGCTCACGCCGGCAGTCCCAGCACTTTGGGAGGCAGAGGCAAGCGGATTGCCTGAGCCCAGGGGTTCGAGACCAGCCTGAGCAACATGGCAAGACCTCATCTCTACAATAAATTTAAAAAACTAGCCTGTCCCTGTGGTTCCAACTATTTGGAAGACTGAGGTGAAAGGATCTCCTGAGCCCAGTAGGTTGAGGCTGCAGTGCTTGTGAATGTGCCAGTGTACTCCAGCCTGGCTGACAGACTCCGACTCAAAAAACAAAAAAAAGAGCTGGGCTCAGTGGCTCAGCCTGTAATCCTGTGCCTTTGGGAGGCTGAGGTGAGTGGATTGCCTGAGCCCGCAGGTTCGAGACCCGCCTGGGCAGGCGAGACCTCATCTCTACAATAAATCAAAAAATTAGCTGTGTGTGGTAGCGCGCGCCTGTAATTCCGGCTACTAGAAAGGCTGAGGCAGAAGGATCGCCAGAGCCCAGCAGGTCAAGGCTGCAGTGGCCGAGAGCGGCCACTGCACTCCAGTCTGGGTGACAGAGTGAGACTCCAACTCAAAAAAAAAAAATAAGAATATGGTTATTTATATGGGATACTATACAATAGATTATTATGTGGCCCTTTCTTTGCATTTTTCATCAAAGATAGGGACATTATTATAGCATGGATTAAGCAGGAATACAAAATCATATATATGTGTTGTAATATATGATAATATATATATGACAACATTATATGATTACATATATTTGGCTGTACTTTCAGCCATGAGGGGGAAAATGCATAAGAACTGGAAGTAAATATGCTATTCCAGGTTTCTCCAGGTAAGGAGTTGCTGGGTAAGATTTTGAGGTAGAACACAAGAGACATTTCGGGCCAGCCCTGATGTTGGTTTTCAGGCCTGGAAAAATGGGGAAGAGCTGTCTGGAGCATGTGTGGATGGGGCCGCATAGAAGGGACTGTGGTGTGTGGGAAACAGTGGTGTGGTCTGGCTGGAGGTGGGGTCAGGAGCAAAGAGCAGGGCCAAGGTGGACTTGGGAGGTGACCTGACCTTAAGCAGACTGAGACAGGGGCTTACAGAGGGAGAGAAAATCCCTAACATGCAGAAGGTTATAAAAGCAGCCTGGGTTTGGCCCTGACGACATACCCTCGCTCTGAGGCAGTGATTTTTTCATGTCCTTCTCCTCAGGTCCAGATTCAGAACAAGAAAGTGGACATCTCCAAGGTCTCCTCCAAGTGCGGGTCCAAGGCTAACATCAAGCACAAGCCTGGTGAGTGTGCCTCCCTCCACTGGGACCCCCAGGGTGGGCTGGCTGGGTTACCCTCTGACTGGGGAGGTTTCGTCCCTGTGCCTTCAGCATTCTTGGGACCACCTCCCACCAGGACACAGCATGGATACAACAGTCTTCAGTCTGGGAGCGGGAGGGAGGCCGCACCTCTCAGGGGAGGAGGAACAGGTTGTGAAGGCAGCTCTTGGCCCTGCATTCTCTTGAGCACCTGCCGTTGATCTGTGCCAGGGGGAGGCTGAGGACCTGGACAGCTCCCCACATCGCATCCCAGGAGCTGATGCTGAAGGAGCTCTTAGAGAGCAGAGGTCAGAACTTCCTGTCGGATTCGGGAGCAGAGTGTGCTCTCAAGCAGTGAAGGGCCAGCCACCAACCCTGGCAGAAGCGGGAGGCATTCAGTAATGCTGCCTAGGCCCACAGACATGGATTTTGCAGCTGCAGCCATGCAGTGTGCTTCCAGCACCACAGTTGGCCAGCACCACAGTTGGCCTGTGCCCCAAAGCAGCCTCTGGGTGGAGCTTGGGCTTTTGCCTCAGGTAGACCTAGCAGCCTCGTGTGACTGGTTCCTGAGTCTGTAGCAGATCTGGGACGAGGGAAATATCCGTGCCGCAGCTGGCACACTGGGCAGCGAGACCTCATCTCTACAGTAAATCAAAAAATCAGCCGGGCATGGTAGTGTATGCCTGTAATTCTGGCTACTCAGAAGGCTGAGGTGGAAGGATCGCTGGAGCCCAGCAGGTTGAGGCTGCAATGGCCAGGAGCAGCCACTGCTCTCTAGTCTGGGCGACAGAGTGAGACTCCAACTCAAAAATAATAATAATAATAATTAATAAATAAAATCAAAATAGCTGGACGTGAGAGGCTTCACACCTCTAATCCCAGCACTTCGGGAGGCAGAGGCAAAGAGGATTGCCTGAGCCCAGGGGTTCAAGACTGGCAACTTGGAGAGACCTTATCATCTCTACAGTAGATTAAAAAAAATTAGCCGGGCTCGGTGGCTCAGCCTGTAATCCCGTGCCTTTGGGAGGCTGAGGTGAGTGGATTGCCTGAGCCCGCGGGTTCGAGACCCGCCTGGGCAGCGAGACCTCATCTCTACAATAAATCAAAAAATCAGCCGGGCGTGGTAGCACATGCCTGTAATTCCGGCTACTTGGAAGGCTGAGGCGGAAGGATCGCTGGAGCCCAGCAGGTCGAGGCTGCAGTGGCCGGGAGCGGCTACTGCACTCCAGTCTGGGCGACAGAATGAGACTCCAACTCAAAAAAAAAATTAGCCAGGTGTGGTGGCGCACGCCTATAGTTCCAACTATTTGGAAGGCTATGGTAGAAGGATAGCCTGAGTTCAGCAAGTTGAGGCTGCAGTAGCTGTCATGCCACTACACTCCAACCTGGGTGATAGAGTGAGACTCCAACTCAAAAAATAAATAAAAAGATCAAAACCTCTGTCCCTTAACTGTTTTTTTTCCCTTTTATCTGGAAAATCTACTCTTGTGAGATACCTCCTTCTCTAGTGACAGAGTCACTTAGGGTCTTGTTTTGGCCAGGGCTGGAATCCTAGCATGTGGGACCCCTGGAGACCTCGGCCAGATGCTAGGCATGGAGCTCTGTGATGTGAGCTGAGAGGAGATGGCAGGGCCCAAGAGAAGCCATGGTGCTGAGCCTCGAGAGCAGAGGGAAAGCTGGGAGGCCAGCCTCGCCTGCACCTCTCCCTACCCCAGCCCAAGAGCACCAGATCCTGGGCCTGGCCTGGTCCATGTCTGCCCTTTCCTGACTCATAGGGGCCATTCTCTCCTTTTTACCACTTTCTTTTCACGCAGCATGATTCCATGCTGTGGGGCTTTTCATGACCTGTCCCTGTCTACCACTAGCTTGGTGGCACTTTGGGCAAGTCATTTCTCTTTTCCAGCATCAGTTTTAGCAACTGTGAAGCACAGATTGTGTCCCTGATAGGGCATTCGTGAGAGTTCAGTGAGGCTGTGCTGGCAAACACGGCATGGCTCTGTAGCTAAAGGGAGTCATCACACGGCCACAAGAATCAGGCGTCCATCCATCTTGGCACCCTCAGAGGTTTCACCCTGGAGACTGTGCCTCGGGCCTGCCCAAGCCTGGCCTGCAGCTGCGGGGCTGGGATGGTGGCAAGGATGGCTTTCCTCCCCTTGCAGGACTATCTCCGTCCCATCTTGATGAGAGAAGCCCTGTTCAGACAAGCATGCTCACTGTTCCTCCTCATTTGCCCCCATAGCCACCCAGGAGCATGTCACATTTTTCCCCTTTCTAGGTGGGCACATCATTGGTCCTTGGCCGTGGTTTCTGTTCCAGGCTCCTGGCTTTGCCTGCAGGGACATTTCTTTGCCACCCTTAGTGACCGATTTCTTTCTGTTTCCAGGTGGAGGAGATGTCAAGATTGAAAGCCAGAAACTGAACTTCAAGGAAAAGGCCCAGGCGAAGGTGGGATCCCTCGATAATGTGGGCCACCTACCTGCCGGAGGCGCGGTGAAGGTAGCGAGTGGGTCACCAGGGAGATGGCTGGGGCTGGGGGGCATGCAGCGAGGGTCAGGGTTCTAGCAGGTAGGCACCTGTCACCGCCACTCAGTCTCTTCAGGAGTCTTGTCTTCACACGCCATTGCTGTTTTCCCATTGTCCGTCATCCACCCCGACCGAGGCAGAGGAGGCGAAGAGGCCCCAGCCCCGCCACCGCCCCGCTGGAGGCAGCGCCTCGCTCCTGAGCGCCGTGGCCTTGCGACTCGGCAGCCCCTCCTGGCCATTTCAGAGAGACTGTGGGCTGGAGCACAGATTACGAGGCGGGCGGGGTCTGCACTTCACGTGGTTCTCCCAGCTACTCATGGAGCGGGCAGTGTGGGCCCCGCCCCGTGTCAGGCGCGTTCCTGTCCTGGGGGCAGGGTAGCACGTTTCCCACCGCCATGGGCAGCAGACTACCTTGGGAGGGCCTGCCTGTGGCTTCCCGCAGGACCTGGGAGGGGCTCCGGCTGCAGAGCGGCCGTCCTCGGGGCCTGCGGGGCCTCTCCTCCCCTCCCCCTCGCTCTTCCCTCCTCCCTCCCTCCTTCCACAGTGCTGTGAGCCTTTTGTGTGCCAAGATGCTGTCTGTCCCTGTTCCTGTCATCAGCTGGGGGAGGCCCACGGGGCGGCCTCTCTCACACTTCCGAGCCAGGGAAAGGGGCTCCCTGCTGGCCCTGTGCTGGTCAGTGCCCAGCCTCCCTCAGTGCTCCAGTTCCAGCTCTGTTCAGCTTCCGTGAACACTTTGGGGGTCACTGTCATCATAGGCTCTCTGTTAGTGCCCCCACACCTTGCGAGGATGCTGTCTTCAGTCTGTCCCGTTGAGTCTGGCGCGGTGGGCGTCACCTCGGCTTCAGTCTCTCATCCAAGGCCACACAGCAAGCAAGTGTAGACCAGGACTCATACCTGAGTTTTTCTGACCCTGAGTCTTGCATACTTTTCTTTATTCGTATTCTCAACCTTTATTATTTCTGGGATTGTTGTGCTAATGCTAATGCAGGGGCCTGTTTCTTCCACTTTTCTGTTTGAAAGCTGCTCCTCCTTTGTCACCTTTGGGCATTCGGGGACAGCTGTTTAGCCTACCTTCCCCCTCCTGTGAATCCCCCCAGCCCCAAAGTCTCCCCAGGCCCCGCCTCCTCAGATATTTCTTCCTGTTTCCCTGGGGCCCAGAACAGGGCCCAGTGCAGAAGAGGCCTCAGTTTCTGGGGTACATGACCAGACGGTGAACAGGCAGGGAGAGTTCCTGAGGACCCTTCCCTGAGCCCATGCTGTGTGCAGGGGGTGGTCTGGGCTCATGGGAGTCAGGATGGTAGGCTACCTCCTCGGGGAGCTGCCTTGCCAGCTGGTGGCACCACTGCTTCCCGAGCGGTCTGGGCCCACCATCTGGAGGATGCTCTTAGGCTTGTCGAGAACTGTGTCTTAGCTGCTTTCTTCGGTGCCAGCCTTGGTGAGAGCCCGAGCACACGGCCCCTCAGAGAGGCTTCATAAAGCCTCGCAAGTCACAGAAGCAGCTCCAAAAGTGTCACTAGCTGGGCTGCTCCCGAGCTTCAGGAACCACGGGTGGGGCTCGGGGAGGGGCTGGGTGCCACCTGGATTAGGTTGTGCCAGGTGCCGGGACAGTGGGGGTGGGGGGCTACGTGTAAACCCACCACCATCACCCCATCCCACTCCCTTCCCGACTGACCCTGCACTGTCTCCCCCACTGTTTCATTGTAGACTGAGGGCGGTGGCAGCGAGGCCCTTCCGTGTCCGGGCCCCCCTGCTGGGGAGGAGCCGGCCATCTCTGAGGCAGCGCCTGAAGCTGGTGCCCCCACTTCAGCCAGTGGCCTCAGTGGCCACACCACCCCGTCAGGGGGTGGTGACCAAAGGGAGGCCCAGACCTTGGACAGCCAGATCCAGGAGACAAGTAAGTGGCTGGGCTCGGCCTGAGGGCCAGCCAGGGGCCCTGCCACTGGCCGCAAATTGAAACTCCTTTGTTTTTTGACTAGTGTGGCCTAAATTTTAACGAAGTAACCTTTTATTTTCCAGGCATCTAATGATGACATTCTGGTCTCGTCTTCCGTCTCCCCTGTGTTCCCTCTTGTCTCCCCGCCACCCCTCCCTTCCCTCTTCCCGTGTCACTGCAGATTGAGACCTACAGGCTGACGTTCCGGGCAAACGCCAGGGCCCGCACCGACCACGGGGCCGACATTGTCTCCCGCCCTCCCCACTTCCCTGGCGGCCCCGGCTTGGGCTCCCGGGCCCTTGGCCCCCTTCCCCGGGCTGTCCACTAGACCAGTGAGCGCTTGGGCGCTGGGCAGCCCGCTAGGCTCCCCTCCCTCCTGCTTCACTTGCCCAGGGCAGCAGCAGTCCCGCCCCACACCTCTTCCTACTGCCAGCCCCAGGCCCAGCTCCCTGCTTCGCTCTCACCGTCACGCCGAAGGGGTCGGCAGGGGAATCGGGCGGGGGAGGCTAAGTTGGGATCTAGGAGGGAGAACCGGATTCCAGCCTCCTCTGCGTTTGGTGTTTTGGACCAAACGCAAAAGAAACTGACATGCCCTGTCTCCGCCCTGGGTCTACCTGGAGGGAAGCGTGGAGGTGGATTCCGAGTGGTGACTGGATGCTGACCGCGCCCCCTGGACCTGCTAAGCCACTGCCTCTCCCTTTGACCCCACAATGGCCCCTGCCACGCAGGTGGCATCAGGCCCTTCCCGCTGCCCTGCCCCAAGCTAGTGAAGGGTCAGTGCTGCCCGTCCCTGCTGCTTACCATACCTGCCTCGCTGCTGTCACACTTCTTTTTCTTGTTTTATCCTTTTTTTCCTCATAACCTAGAAACTGGTGGAATAGTTTTGCAAGTTGAAGCCATGTCTAAGTGAAAGGCCTCAGTAGGTGTCCAAGGAGACAGGGAGGGGAGATCCTGAAGCCTCCACCCAGGAGGATGTCGTTGGGGGCTGCCTGGCTTGGGCCGCTGCAGGCCCTGGAGGTGGTGTGGGCAGGAAAGTGAGGTGCGGGGGCTGCGGCTGGTGAGCAGATCCGGCACGTGAGGGCTGGTCACGGTGTGGACTGGTGGTTTGGCATTTTGTGTGTATGCGGCTTTGCTTTTCTAACCAAGAGGCCTGTTTGGGCATCTCTCTCTGTCCCATCCCCTGGGATCTGGTGGCCAGCCTGGGATAGAGGGTCAGGCGTAGGGACACAGGAAAGGGCCCAAGGTCAATCCTTCGGGCCTGCTGCAGCCTAGGACACTCCAGCTCTTGTGTCCAGAGAAGCAAGATGTCCAGAACTCATGTGGAGAGTGGGGAATCAGGTCTGGAAATTAAAGCAAAACGAGGCACGAGACTAGGGCCATTCGCTTCCCCTCTAGCCTGGTGAGGGAGGAGAGGGGAGGCTGCCTGCGGAGGGGCATCCCAGCGAGGCCAGGCCTTGGGATGGCTGCAATGAGGAGAAGTCCTGGGAACTGTATTGACACAAAGATTCTTATTGCACTTGTATTTTTTGTATTAAAGTTTGCATGGTTTCTAATAAAGGATTAAAACCTAAGCTTGTAGTGAATGGCCTGGAGTTTGCGAGGGCTTCCCTGGAGGGGCATTTGCTGCAGTGCAGATTTGCCTCTGAGGAGGCTGCCTCAGACTCGGCCCGGGCCTCCCGCACCCTTTGCCCCTCTGCTCCTGGTGTCCCCTGGAGCTGAAGAGAGTAAGGGTCTACCTAGCTTCAGATTTTGTTTGCAGGTGCAGGGAGGGCATGCCTGGGCCTGACACACCCTGCCCTTTTCTGAGGCAGCAGTTTTTCCTGGGGAGCTTTGATGCCATGGCCCCGGCTCCCCAAGCACGCACCGAGAGAGGAGGGGCCTTGTGGGGAAGGTGCTGCCCAAGCCGGAGGACCAGTTCTCCTCAGACAGTCTGCAGATGCTTCAGCCGTGCCCGGGATGTCAGGGTGCCGGTCTTCGTCAGGAGGGAGGGGCAAGATGAAACCGGGAGAAGCAGGCAATGGGGGTTGGGTGGCAAGGCAACGCAGCAGGGATGACACACAGGGCTCAAGGTACCTGCTGTCCTCCCTCTGTTGATGCTGAGGCTGACAACAGGCTCTCAGTCCTTTTTCTCCTTTGGCCCAGGGCTCTGGGGAAGGGGGTGATCCCAGGAGAACACTCTCTAGGTGGGCAGCAGGAATGGTCAGCATTCCTAGGGGTTGTCTGGTCACAGCTCCCTGGAAGGTCCCCATGTGTCAGAGAATCTGAGAAGGCTGGCCTGACAGGTGGGGACCAGCAGCCCCCATGTCAGCCACATGTGCTACTCTGCAGCCATTTGGGGTGGGACACTTCTGTACTTCCCAGTTTGCTTGTGGCTCAGCCATTGCCTGTGTCAGTCTGTGATTGTTGTAACAATTTCAAATAAATAAAGCTGCCTGATGTCCCACCACCCAGACCTGTGTCTTCTGTACTTCCTGACTTGTCTCTAGCACCTATGGTGCCCCTTCCTGCTCCCAGCTTATCCCCTTGCGTCAGGGGTCTGGTGTGAGGTGTGCTGCTGTCTTGACGAGCTGAGCACACAGCCGCCTCAGCTGTGAATTTGTGGACATGACCAAAGGGAAGAACATCTGCCTAAGGGGGCTGCTCAACATCTGCTCTCCAAACCTACCAGGGCAGGGATGGTTCTTACAGGCTCCCCATGGGGGGGACACCTACAGGAGCAGCTGTGACAAATAACCATGCTGGCCCCAGCAGTGTGTGAGCTAGTTAACCGCACCAGGGAGGAGGGCCTGCATTGGAACACGGTGTAGAAACTTTTTTTCCCCAGCTCTTGTCTTTAGCCAAGTGCAGAAATTTTTTAACATTTTCCTTTTTAAAAAATATTTTTTGGCTAGGCATGGTGGTTCACACCTGTAATCCCAGCACTTTGGGAGGCCAAGGTGAGAGGACTGCCTGAGGCCAGGGGTTCGAGACCAGCCCAGGCAACTTGGCGAGCTCATCTCTACAATAAATAAAAAAGTTAGCTGAGTGCACGCCTGTAGCTCCAGCTACTTGGAAGGCTGAGGTGGAAGGATCAGTGGAGCCCAGCAGGTCGAGGATGTGATGGCCGTGAGCATGCCACTGCACTCCAGCCTGGACAATAGAGACTCAAAAAAAAAAATTAATAAGAGATGGAGTCTTGCCATGTTGCCCAGGTTGGTCTGGAACTCCTGGGCAAGAGAATTCTCAAATGATTCTCTTGCTGGGATTACAGGAGTGAAGCACCACGCCAGGCCCAGGGTGGAGGAGGAGGCTCTAACCCAACCCCCTTTCCTTCCCTGAGACTTGGGGCCACAGCCAGACCTCCAGCAGTAGCCGTCTCCCTTCTGCCTTTCTTCCTCCTGGCTTGGAGATCCAGGGCCAGCCTGCTAGGAGAAGAGCCCCTAGAGGACAGCAGCACTCACAAGGGATAAATAGAACTTTATTTTAAATAAACATTTGCACTCTGTACACGGCCTCTGCGGAAGCAGGGCTCAGTCATCAGCTGACTTGCGCACATCAAAGCTGCCACAGGGTCCTCGCAACAGCTCTGCCAGCAGTGCGAGCAGCTGCCCATGCTCCTGCTGCACGCTTAGGGGGAGGGCAGCCAGCTCACTGCGCAGGCTCCGCTCCACCATGCGGCCCAGGGCCCGGCGCAGCCCCCTCAGCAGCCGCACCGTGCGTGAGTCGCCCTCCAGCCGCAGCAAGTCGCTGTCGCTCAGTGAGATGGTGGCGCGGCGCCCATCATCTGGGGGAACGAAAAAGCGGTGGAAGCCAAGTGAGGCCAGGCCCCAGAGAACTGCCCGAGGAGCAGCGGGTGGGCCTTCGGCAGTACCCACCACGGATGTGCACGTCCCCATCTGTCAGGAGCAGCACGGCCAGTGGGTGCACCTGGGAGGAGTCCCGGACGAAGACACTGCCATTGGACTTGACTGCCATGAAATACGTCAGCCATCGGCTCCGCAACCGGGTGGCCTCCCTAGGAAACACGGGGCTGGGTGAGGCCGCCCTTCGAGCCCTTGCCAGCCGCCCTGTCCAGTCCTGCCCACCCCTACCTATTGATGGTCGACTTGTGCAGCAGGATGTTTCCTGATTTGGTCCGGTATGTGACACTGTTGGGCTTGAACTTCCCCTGCCGGGTGACCTTGCCCTGCCTCACCTGCGGGGATGAAGAGATGTGGGGATGAGCAAGGGGCTGGGACGGGGAGGATGGGACCTGGCCGACTCCCTCCCCCTCCCGGAGGCGGCACCTGGATGAGGTTGGGATAGAGGCCAGCCATCAGCACGCCCTTCACCAGCTCCTCCTCTTCACTGTACTCGTTGCACTGGGCAGAGGCCAGGGTGCAGTCCGAGGGCTTCCCCACTAGGAACGCTTCATAAATGTTCTCCGAGAACTGCTTGATGAGTCCTGGGAAGCAGAGTGCATGGTGAGCCCGTGGCCTGCTAGCCAAAGACCGGAGGGAGATGGGAGCTGGTGGGGGAGCTGAGGGGCCCAGAGAGCAGGCGCAGCCCGGCTGACCGTGGATGAAGCGCAGGCTGGGCGCGTAGAGCAGGTTCTCCTCCAGGTAGTTCTCCCGGGAGCTGCGGTCCTGCCAGCGCAGCACCTCCTCCCAGCCGGCCACAGCCCGCACAAAGGCCAGGTGGTCACTGCCGCTGTCGTGGCTCAACAGTGCCTTCACCTGGGAGGAGGAGAGGGCGCCAGGTCACGGGGCAGGGGCGAGGAGGCTCCCTCAGGGCAGCAGGTGGTGGAGGGTCAGGAGGGAGAGCTGGAGACTCCAGGAAGGGACTGGGTCTGACCTTGTCCACCTCCGCCCGGTTCTGCAGGCTGCTGCTGAAGGGGTCCCTGGTGAGGCAGGAGACGACCACCAGCAGCGGGTGCAGGCAACGGAAGATGGCAGCCAACACTATGGCCTTGGCCAGCCGGGGGTCAGTGGAGATGTGGGCCAGGCGCTGCCCCAGGGCGGTCAGGTACTCCCGCTGGTCCAGCACCCCTGCAACGGTCATCTGTCAGTCCCACCCTTGAGATTCACCATGCAGTCCAGCCCAGCCCCTCCTCACCGATCTCCTGAAGCAGTATCACAGCCTCGTCCACTGCCTTGATGTTTGGACTGTCCACAGCCTTGGACAGGAACTCCACTGCCTACAAGAACAAGCCAGGGCCCGCCATGAGCCTGCTTCCCACCTGCCATTCCCGAGACCAGCCCCGCCCTGGCCTGCCCTGTCACACCGTCTTCTCAGGCATGTGGATTTTGGCTTGCAGCACCAGGTTCTCGAGAGGTGTGCGCAGGATCTCTGGCACTTGGAATGGGACCATTTTTTCCAGCCGGCTTCGCGGGAACAAGTGGTAGGCAAAACCTGACTGGCAGCGGCCTGCCCGGCCCCGGCGCTGGATCACATTTGCTCTTGACACCCACACAGTCTCCAGGCAGGACACCTGGGGGAGGGGGCGGGTGAGCAGCAACACAGACGCCACTGCCTCAGCGTTTCCCCACTCCTTAAATGACCCCACACTGGCCCCCCAACAGGGACACTGAGACCCCACGAGTGTGGCCGTCTTCAGACACACAAAGCAGGTCTAGGGCAGATTCCCCAGGGGCTGGCTGGGCCCAGGAGACGGGTGCCACCTTGGTCTTCAGGTCGTAGCGTTCCTCCTTGTGCAGACCACTGTCCACTACATGCACGATGTCATTGACCGTGATGGAGGTCTCGGCGATATTGGTAGCCAAGACAATCTTGCGCATCCCAATTGGAGGCTGCTGGAATATGGCCTTCTGGTCCATCATGGGGATGTTGGAGTGCACTGGTGGACAGCAAGACACACTGGTTATGGGTACCACTTCCACCAAATCCACTCCCTGGGATAAGGGCAAGGCAAGAACTTCAACCCCATTTTGATGAAACAGGCCCAGATCTAAAGAACATGCCCAACGAAAAGTGGTACTGTTTGGCCAGAAACCTGGGCCCCTGGAGCCACAATGGGTCAGCTCCAGGACAGGATTCTGGCCATCCATGATTCCTTAGACCCGGCTCTCACCTGGCAGGATCAGGTACTTGCTCTCGTGCATGCCCAGGGCCTCCTGGAGGCGTTGCTGCACTCCTTTTATCTCCTGCCAGCCAGGCAGGAAGCACAGGATCCCACCTACAAAGGAGCCCTGCAGGTATGAGCTGACTGCTCCTGCCAACGGGGTCGGGTGGGCACAAGGCAGAGCGGGAAGCACCCACCTGGCTCCCCACGGGCATCGATGTGCAGAACCAGATCAGTCATGAGCTCCAAATCGAGTGCGCATTCATCCTCAGACTGGGTTGGGGGAAGAGAGGCCACAGTCACAGCCCCGGGGTAGAGGGTCGGCACAGCACACAGCCACCGTGCCCCAGCGAGACGGAGCCCGTCGACACATCAACTCCAGTCCTCACATACTGGCCACACAGGCATGACTATTCCCCAGTTTCCGTCAAGGAAACCGAGGCTTGGGAAGGGCAACTTGCCCACGGCCACCAAGCCGCAGGGACAGGGAAGAGGGAAATCCCGAGAAAAGGCCAGGAGCCCCGGGAGGGATGGGGGGGTCCCTCACCTCGTGGTGCCGGTGCCGGTGTGGGTACTGGTGCTTGCCCAGCTTGGCCAGGATGTCCTCCAAGTAGTGCTCCTTGACAGGGTACATGAAGCCGGGCACCTTGATGACAGGGCAGCCACCAAAGTATCGGGAGAAGCGCTCATTATCACCCGTGGCACTCATAAGCACCAGTCGCAGGGCCGGGTTGAGCCGCTGCAGGCCCTTGAGCAGAATCAGCAGGAAGTCTGTGTTCACGTCCCGTTCATGAACCTCATCCACGATGACGTGGCTCACGCCCTCCAGGCTGGGGTTGCTCTGCAGCTTCCGCAGCAGAATGCCCACAGTGCAGAAGAGCAGGGCCCCACCTCGGGCGGGGGGCTTGCTTTCCAACCGCACCTGGAAGCCCACATTCCGACGCAAAGAGGGGCCCAGTTCATGGCTGACCCGCTGTGCCACAGACACAGCCGAGATGCGGCGAGGTTGGGTGATGATCACATTGCAGCGGGCACCACGGCCCTCAGTCACATAGCGCTCCAGCAAGAGCTGGGGAATGCGTGTGGTCTTCCCACAGCCTGTGTCCCCAGAGATGACCACCACCGGGTGCTGCTCGATGGCACTGAGGATGGTGTCCTGATGTGCATCCACAGGTAGCTGGGGGGCCTCCTGCCAGACTGGCCCTCGCCGCCGCCACAGCTCTAACAGGCTCTGGCTCAGACGCACCTCCTCAGCTTCTGACAGGGGCATGTAGGGCTTGCCCGTGATAGGGTCACTCAGGGGCCCTGAGTCTTTCCCCAAGGGCAGGATGTCATCACTCTGCAGCCGGAGCTCTGGGGATATCCAGGAACTGTCCACAGGGTACTGGGGGGCGGGGAGGCAAGCCAAAT